TCAGCCTATCAAAATGCCCAGTTCTTTCTTCCAAGACCATTGACGAGATTGTCAGAGTGGCTTCCCTTCACCTGCCATTCGGTTAGTTTTTTCCACTTCGCTCGTTTCCGTTCCCAGACGGAAGTCGGTACAGCACCTTAAACAGCGGGTCAAAGACCGCGCACAATCCTTCCTCATCCGTTTTCCTGTTCCATTCATAAGGTCGGTTAATTTGCTGATACCTCATCATCACGTGGCAAATCCCTCATTGACCATCTTCAAAAAGCTTTATATCTTCAGTAACAAGCTGCGTAGCCCCCAGACAATGTGTTTTGTCGTGGATAACCTAAATGAAGACAAAAAATGATTAACTCATTTCTTTTCTAATATCTAGACTCTACACTACATCCATTTTTCAGTGAGCTTGTTTCCTTCCTACAAATAAAATAAACTCTTCAGAATTTTAGAGCTACCTGGCTGTCCCAATTCACAGTATGCAGAAAAGTTAGTAGCGGGATTAAGTATACTAGCAACAAGCAACGTCATGTTTTTACGTGTCGGGGTATCATTCGTTCAGATTAAAGACCTCACATACTCCAAAAAGCATCATTTCTCACAAATGAACCTCTATTGAATCCGCCGTAAAAACGAATTCCCGGCTTACGCGTGCTTTTAAACTCCATAAACTCTTTCCCTCGCATTCCTCCCGCTCTTTCCTCCGTCCTCCACTAGGGGCCGAGAGGCGACCGCCCAGGAACTGAGCACCCGCCCGCCCGCCCGCCATCCCGGCTGCTCGCCCCGCCGCCGCTCGCCCGCCCGCAACTCGCCCCAGCGTCCACTCGCTCGCCGCCCGCCCGCTCGCCCGCCGCCGCTCGCTCCCGCCTGCAGCTCCCCTGCTCTGCCAGCCCCCGCTCGCCCGCTCGTCCGCTGCCCCCGCTCGCCCGCTCGCCCCAGCTGCGCCCGCTCGCCCGGCCTCGCTCGCTCACCGCTGCGCTCGCCGCCCTCCGCGCCGCCCGCGCCGGCCCCCGCCCGCCCGCCCACGCCCGCCCACCGCACTCGCTACCCACTTCCAGAGGCCACCCAACTCGCCCACCCACTCGCGCCACCCACTTGCCCGCCTGCCCGCTCACTCGCCCGCCGGGCGATGAAGCAAGTTCCGCAGGCGCAGGGCGCGCGGGGTGACGGACGCCCAGCAGTAAAACGCGCCCGGTTACAACACGGCGACGTTCGCATAGGAAAGTCGGCTCAATAAGCGACGCGCTTACGAGCAGCGGAGAGTCAGGAGTCAGGGCGTTATGTCATCGGCGTAGGCGGATACTCCATTCACACACACACACACGGTCTCCCGGACACACACACACACACACACACGGGCGAGCGCGCGACGGCCTCGCCTCCGGGCCTACGGCAGTTATCACCGTCATCCGCAAGGAATGAGTATAAACCCCTTTAGAAAACGCCTTCAAGAATTGCCCTTAAAGATGTCCACTTTCCTTTCGACGACTACAAAAGTCCTCCTTGCCCTCTCTCCTATCTATTTTACTCCTAATCCTATAATCAGCTTCTGGGAAGACGACAAGTCACCTGCATAAAAGTCTGGAAAGTTGGTATTATTACCCCTTAACCACATGCCAGCAATAACGAGTCTATTAAATGGCTGTCGGGGCCATTAGCAGGCGCCCAGCCTGAAAAAAAGTACAAGGATAATAAAATTATCTTCGTCATGTTTGTCGTCGAAATGCTACTGGTTGGCTCACCCAGAGCTGGCTCCGTGATGATTCTGAATGGTGGACGCTGGCCACAAGCGCCCGATCATCGCGATGGCGTTTCTGTTCCGGGGCCAAGGAACATGGAGGAAAGTCGGCGAGGCAGATGCACGGAGTTATTAACCATAAACGCTCTATTGTATTCGCCGAAAATTCATCGTTTCCTTCCACTAGCGTTGCAATACTGTGTGTATCTTGTCGTTTTCAACTAAATCATTTCAGTAAGTTCTCTTTTTCGTAGTCACTCCGGATTTCTTCATCGAAAGACCCGTGTCACATTTATGGAACACATATTTCACCAGTACTCCTCTTTTCGGTTCCTCATAGATTCTTTCAGGTTGTTTTTTTTCGGTTGAAGTTAACTATATTTAAAAAATTATATTTTCTCTTTGAATATTTGAACTCTGCTCGGTATCGAAGTAATTTTTTCACATCTCAGTTTTTAAAGTCTGGAGTAAATCGGCTTCGAGCCATTTCTAATAAATAGCCATAAATATGCTTATTGGGGAAAAATTATAAGAATTGAAAGCGAAAAATGTTACTAGTACTTTATACTCTAGGTTCATCCTTGTCTCACAACCACGTGGTAACAAAGTAGTTTTATGCACATGCCAGTACTGATATATCCACTTACTCAAAATTCTCGAAATACTCGCAAAAAACAGTTTAGTAAGTCCAATTTCTTGCAATTCAGTGCCATTAGTCTTAAAGCTTAGAAATGTCACCAATAGAATGAAAGAAAGAAAGAAAGAAAGAAAAAACAAATACAACAAAAAAACCACAACTGAAAAGTTATTTTTAGAGATCACTGAACATAATGCAATGCAATTTGTTTTTAATACTGTTTCTCCTAAATATGAAATGTAAAGGTACATTTTCTTCTCATATATTTTAAAAATCTCTAGTCACAAGTACTCTCTGGCAAAGGACTAGAATATTATTATCAATTCTTTAAGCATATACGCTCGTGTCAATCGCTAGTGCAGAAGTAAAGCTCACGCAAGTTATAGCGAGAAAACGTACAAATACTATTTGCAAAAACCATTACAAAATAAGTAATTTGACTTGTATTTTTTATTATGAAAGTAGAATCTTCTATACTTCTGAAATCCTAAATTCGGATCTTGTCGTCTCTCTGAGATTACTTAAATATTACATAGGGTATCGTTCACGTATGCCTTTAAACAATAATAAACATAATTAGTAATGCATATCCTGAGTTTCAGTTATCTTGTTGCTTTACGAAAACAGTTGGAATAATCAATGATGGTCAATTGGTCTACCGCTCAAGGTTTGTCCTTAAATTACAATTCGTAATATTTAACTGATTGTGGTTTAAATTTACTTATGTACGGGGGTTACCCAACAATAGTACAACCCACCAAATCCATATGGTAAAGACAAACATTTTTTAAAGAAATAAAATTTTCAAACAATTAAACAACAACAACAACGAACGTTGTTCATGAACTGGGAATTATTTAGATTCTCCTCTCAAACTATTTCCAAGTAAACGTCGTAAAAGGTGATTCTCACGGTTCTCGCTAAAGGTTCTTCTGGAAGTCTCGGAGCTTTGCAGCATTGCCAGATAGCGTCTGGTGAGATCACGCAACACTTGAGTTACGGGACGAAATTTTACAATGCTTCGCTTGAGATAAGATGGTATCGTTCGGAGGCTTAAGAGAACAAATTTGTACCCGAGAGAATTTCTAGAAGATATCAAATCTTACGCCAGGCTGAATGTTTTCGCACACGATTAAGACCGCTCTCATAACTTACTACGATACAGGGAACAAATGTACTCTCTTGTCTCATCTATTTTCTACGTATATGGTATCATGCAAGACATTTTAATGCATTCTTTGGGAAGTTATGATATGAGCTTCTCAAGGAAATATTTCTTTATGGCTGGTCCCACACTAGAATTATTTAGCCATTCTTTTCGACACCGTAAGAGAAAATTATTAACTTCATGGAAAAATACCTGTACCGAAAATTCAAGATTCAAATATTTAAGGAAGAGAATTATATTATTTACATATACGATAAGTAAACAATTATGTTAGTTAATATATTGTATCTTTTTTTAAATATTTGCAATAATGTCAAAATAAATAGAGCTAGAGTCTGTTAATTACAATAAAAACAATGCATTCGGTAAACTAACGGTCATCGATTGAACATAATGAGGCATGTATGTATTCCATAGGATATCTCAATTCTGTTAGTTGTAAAATTAGTACAAAAATGATATATTGATAGAAATAAAACTGATAACATATCATTGTCTCATACTCAACACTATTTTACCAGAAATTTTGTCAGCAACTGAATAAGCGTCATAAAAAGTAAGTAACGTTGAAAGACAAACATCCCTCGGAGAATGTCGAAGAGCTTCTGCGCATTATATGAGCAATCTTTCAAACATTTCTCAGCCTAATGCATCGCCTGGAGCTCTTGTACTCACACACCATTCCCCACCTGACGTTGCTCTTCCTCTACTCAACACCCAAGACCCTACACGCAAACTGCACTTATGCTACCCCCGAAAAAAAAGTGCCGACCTTGCAACTCTCCCCGCCGCTAAAACACTGCCCCCTGTATCACGGGACAAAAAGCCCGCTTATGGCCGTCACTTCCTGCGGCTCGCGGCCTCCTCGCCACCTACAGCCAATAGCGTCGCCGGTGGATTCGAGCGAGCGGGGGGCGGGCCGCTCCGATACAAAGACACCGCCGCCACGGCCGCCTGCAGATCGGTAAGCCCAATAATTCCCAGAGGGCCGCGCGCGCGGGTCGGTCGGGCGAACTTATAAAAAGTGACGCAGCAAGTCCTGCCGCTAGAGGGGGCCATTGTATGGGAAGGAGGAAGGCGGCCGAGGTGAGACGAACGGCCGCAAGAAAACGGAAGTTAGCCGACCAATTACGGAGACAAGAAGACTGCTTCGCTGCGCAGCGGCGGCGGCGATGGCGGCGCAGGCGGTGATCTGGTCCGCGCGGTTCTCACTCCCACCATTAACGCGCCGCGCGGTCGCGCCATCACCGACGCCGCTCCGCGGCAGCGTGCGAAACTAAAAAGGAAAACAAAAGCCGAGATTATTACTTGACTAGGAACCATCAACATTACCGATGCCTCTCCGTGAGTCGGCAATATTTCACGGAAAGCCGCCATGAGAACTTCAAATACGCCAGACAGAAATGCCACACTGCCTGGTCGGGATCATGCCGCTATACGCCGCCGCAGCCGGAGCTGCCGCGATGCGTCTTTCGCGAGAAAAAAAGAAGAACCGCGCAGAATCGCGAAAAGAGAGGAAGAGAAAAAAGAGGAAAAAGAAAAAAAAAAGAGTGGCTTGTTTAAACAATGCAAATATCGCACAATACCGGCGACTGAGCGACCACTCAAAGAGGAATTGCAAACTAATCATTCGGACAATTGAAGATCTGTTAAAGAAACAAATACGAAGCGAGGAGCGTGGCTGCGGCGCGGGGCGATCGGCAGCCGCGGGGGGGGGGAGGGTGGCAGCCCTGCGCGAAAGTGCGACGACGTCAGGGGGGCTTTATGCGCGTGCGCACGATCCTAGCGCGGGCGCCGCTACACAGCTGCCAACGTTCAAACTGTGCCGCTGCGAGAAGTGTCGTTTTGAAGTGGCTTTGTCGGTGACAAACCGCTGGCTGCTGTGTTCGTGACCGACGAGATGGTCAATGCCTTGAGGTAGGTGGTTGGGTGGCGGTGAAGGCTCGCCCTGAAACAGCGCTTCTCAATTGTTTACTATATAAGTCTCCTCAGTACTCATCGAAAATTTAATGTATTTCAAAATCATGAGTGAAGACGTTATATTTTAAGGACATTATTTAGACATTTTAAAATATAACTATTGGGACCGTACAAAAATTACATTTGATTTTAAAGGGTGGAGGGGGTTCCTACATAGTTTAGCAAACGAACCGGGATGGGGTTGATGAAAAAAGAAGCTTTGAGTCATAATTATTTTACTTTTATCTTTGAACTAGAGGTGAATGATAAAAATACTGTAAAAGTGTGTTCACATTTGAGGAATTGTTTTCACCTCGATATAGAACGTTCTTGTCAGAGGGATAGTAAGTATTGAAGATTTTTAAAAGGTGCAAGTGAAAAAAAAGCGTCCAGACGTATTTTTTGGCTTCTAATAATCATTTTTCGTAGTTTTGAAAAATATGGAATTAAAGAGGAATTTATGAAATAAGTTAAAATATGTCTTTGCCTATGAAATGCGATGAATTTTGAAAGGTGTCATTTCCTTTTCTTCAGTGACTGGATTTTCGTGCCTAACCTAACATTTCCGTAATTCAACAAATGTTCAAAAGGGCTAATTCCACGCTAATTTAACTACGAATGTTTCGATTGAACGCAGGAAAACTCCACTTTCCCAAACGTGTGGAATCTGAAGTCAGAAGAACAACATCTTAAAACATCTTAAGTCAGAAGAACAACATTAGTTTCACCTATAAGAAATTTTGTATTTTTGGTATTTGGCTGGTTTCTTTCAAGAGAGACTGTCATATTTCGAAAAGGCGTAACGTGGCCGGAGAAAACCGCACGCTTTGGAAGCTGATCATACTTTTAGGAACTGGGCCACTTGCGTCGTATGACAATTTAATGTTCTTAAAAAAAGGTGATAGTTCACCAAAAATTCGAAGTTAAATCAATAAAGCATAATTTACTAATGACATTTAAATTAGAAGGCTAAATAGCTGGAAAATGGAAGGGAGAACGTTATTGAGTATCAGTTAGTCTATTAGGTATTTAAAATCCAAGCAAAAAAAGAAAAGCAATCTTTTAGAGTCTCGAATACAGTAATCGGAATGCAATATATTCAGTTATAGTTGTATTGCTTCTTACTTACAAATATTAGTTCAACAATTTTTAAGGAAGAAAAAAATCCATGGTGACGTAGTTTTTCACTTATTCTTTGGCAAATGTTATTCGAAACTCCAGGAACTACATCTTAAGAGTGAAAAATAACCATGAAAAACTATCAACATGAAGTGTAAGAAAGTAATGTAAGCAGATGTGATTATATTTCTTCATAAGAAACAATGTTATTTTCAGTTCCAATAATAATATATCGCATGCTAAGTTACATATAAGCATTGCACAGTCCTTGCTGTAACTCTGTTAATGTGGGGCGAAAATAATAAAGGAAAAATGTCAAGATGCGTAGATTTTTATTACAAAGAAATGACATTTGTTCGTATATTATCGCCCTTCAGTTAAGTAGTACCGAGCATAAGAAGACATTGTACCTAGAAACTCTTCCCTTCAGACAAAACATTCATATCGTTATTTTAGATATATTTTGAGGCACATTGAAATGGCAAAAATATTAATGCCAAACATATGAGTAATTTTGAGTCTCACCATGAAGGCTGAAACGGCGTCCTCGGTGCCTAGGGCGCGGTATCTCCCAAATAGCCAAGTAAGAACTGCCTACGCTTTCAACTGCATTTCTTCTTGCTCGAAGCAGACCGATCCCCATTTATCTCGAATAAGTCGTGTTGTACCGTACGTACCGAAGACGTTCACATCTTACCGGATCTTAAAGACTTGATCCCATTAGTGGTGTTTGGGCACAAAACATCAATCTCCCATTATTGCATAAGTTTTATGTTCTGTGAGGAAGAGCGCCATACTTTACCGCCAAATGACAAGAAGAGAGCGGTGTGTACTAGTTCTCACGATTTGGCAAGGCGAAAGTGATGGACGGGGTACGTGTCCACAATGAAGTAGACTGATGAAGGAGAAAGTAACAATGATAGAATGGAATATCATGACTAAGGTTTGGAGGCGGATGATCTTGCATTAGTCCTGGGAATTAGTGAGTGTTGCATTATTATTCTGCCTTGTTTAGCGTAAGAAAGCGCATAGGCTAACAGACAGCTCAGAGTAGACAATCAATCTCACATTCAAGAAAGTAAATTATCCTCAATCTTCTTTGAGCTCTACTATAATAAAGTTCAAATATAATTCATTCTCCTCCATTCTTGGGGTCAATCTATTTTCTAAGTGGTTGCTGATGATCACTTCTCTGCAAGTCTCAAAATTTAATTGAAGATAAATACTTTAGAATAATTTACTTGTGTAAGATATTTATTAAGGTAAAATTTCCTTATCTCAGTCTTAACCCTTTTTCAGTACATTTATGAGTTGCTTTGCTTCTTTGAAGCTGTTTTATTCATGTTTATTAATATTTTTTCAAGGGTGTAAAGACTTGAAGTGTATCTTCCTGCTTTTGACAAATCACTGCCATGCGCCTATCAGATGATTTATAGAACTGTATCTTGTGTGAATCCGTAATGCTTCCTTTGCGATGTCATGAGTTTTAAAGCGGCATTCTTTAACTTCAATGCTTCTGATCATTTGACATCTTTGCTTCTATAGCACTCCGAGAAACCGCCTCAAACGAAAAAGTACAGGGGGTAATTGCGATGCAAGTTTGACCTTGTTTATGAAAGTACACATAGTGCGCATGTACAAGGGTTTTTAAAGGTCGTTTTTGAATAACATGGGTCATATAGCGATCACTGTGATTGTTTTAAGTGTAGGGGGAACTGTAAGAAGAACGTTTGAGGTCAACATGAACACATACAAACATCCATGGCCGAGGCGAGGCGAGATTCGAACCGGCGACCGGATTCGAACCCGCGAGGCAGTCACGACGCTTCAGCCGTAGCGGCCTCGACTAGAATTGTAATGACGAGAAACTCAAATTCCGCCAGAACATCCCTCCCCGGTGTCGCCTCTGAAGTCCATTCCTCCGGCCGAGAAGTGGCGCAACCCCCGCTCCACCCTGCCGCAGACATCGCCAAGGCGAGCCGGGCGGCACCCCTGCGCGCGCGTGCAGTGGTTATGCTCACGCGGAGGCGACGAACCGCCAGGCCCGTGACGTGGCTGCACCGCGGGGCGGGGCGAAGGACTGGCAGGGGGAAATAAGAGCGATGGGTGGCGCTGCGAGGCGGGGTGAAGTATGACGACAGGGTGGCGCGAGGAGATCGCGGAGCGAGGCGGTGAGGCTGCGCGAAGAGGGGCGAGGCGAGGGCGCAGGCGGCCGGCGGGGCGAGTGACGCGAGGCGAGGCGACGCGGGGGCGTGGCGACAGCGGGCGAGGCGACGCGGGCGAGGCGACGCGGGCCATGGCGACGCGGGGCGACGCGGGGCGGGGCGAGGCGAGGCGGGCCAAGGCCGGGGCAGAGGCGGGGCAACGGGGGCGGCGAGGAGAAGCGAGGATAAGGAGAGGGCGAAATAGAGCCGACGTGTGGCGTTGGTGGGAGGAGCCGTGACCGAGATACCGCGGGGTGGACCCCGTGGGCGGTGCGAGGCGAAGGAGAAACGGAACGAAGCAGTGGAGGCGGGGTGAGGTGGAGAGAGAAGAGGCACGGAGGAGAGAGAAATCGGTGGAATAATTTGTAACGCTCAATCACAAATACTACAAATATATGTAAACAACATTAAAGTTCTGGTAAAATATATATGACCTTAAATACATTAAAGTTCTTTAACAATGAAGTTTTTCTCAATAATACATGTATTACTGTGTACTTAATAGTACTGAAAATTAAAAAGCAGGTGTCAATTAGACTCCGTTTAAAAAAAAGGATATATTAATTTTGAATATAATTATAGTTTAATAATGTTTATCAGCCTATTACGTTATTGCAGATGCTACTAAAAAGAAACATTTACATCAATATGAAAACTATGTTTAAACAATTTGAAAAACAGTGCGTAAAGCAATCATTATTATGCAGACATGTTTAGGTATTTTCCAACAAACTAGCCAGATTATTTTAATGCATGATTAGAAATAAATGATTTCCAAACTATTATTTATCGCAACGAAGTGAGTTAATGCAAGAGTGGGCAAGATCCAGGAGAGATTGGGGGGGGGGATGAAATGGCAGGGAAGTGCCGCGGGGAGGTTGCAAGAGCGTTGCTTTGTCCAGGAGGGGGCGTGGCGTGGCTGCATGGCCTTGCCGCAGGCGACAACTTGACTTTTCGCGGAGGTCACTGCCCGAGAACCATTCCGTGGAGGCAGCGTTCCTCGAGTTCCAAATTCATACGACGTTTTGGTCCAGCCTATCGCGGGACACATGTTAAACACGAGACTCACAATTAGTACAATTTACATATTCCAACTTACTGATCAATGTGTTTATTTTCTATCTATGAGTACGTGCTGGTGTTAAACTTCCGAGCACCGCAAGTGCAACAATCGGTGTACAGGAAAAGGGTGTTGCAGCAGGTTCCATTAGAGATCTGTGTCCCCTTCTCTTGCTCCATATTTCCTTTCATTCCATCATTGTCATCATTTAATCTGGATCGTTTACCATATCCAATATGAGGTAAATTTCGAATACAAGGAAACAATAAATTGTCGTTGTACATGCGATTTGAAACCTACGTCGAAGGATAATGCTAACAGAATAAATAAATAACAATATTTTTTCATAATTAAACAATTGCAGAAGTTTGGTACATATGTATCCAAACAACGTTAATAATGTATAAATACCAATTGCGTACGCTTGTTCTTGTACGAATTTCTCCTTTTCGAATCGTAATCCTAAACAATTTTTTTGGTAATACGCACATAAATGCACATATATTTAAAAATTGGTATTTGCACGCATGTAAGAACGTAAAAGTGCGAAGTCGAACATTACGTTCATTCATTGTGTAGTATTACTTGGAGTTTTGTTTTCTCCATATTGACTTGAAATTCTTCAAGTTCAATAAGTTCCGAGACAATACTGTTTGCAGGTTTTCGCAAATTATTTTATTATCGCAAAGTATTTTTAAATATAATAATAATTCGACTCTCAATTGAAATCAAACTCCAGTGCGGTTTACTTGGTATTTTATTTCTGTACTTAAAGATGTCAACATCATTGTTGCCAACGTCCTTAAAAACATAATGATGAAATAAGCAAAAAATGACTTTGAGTTCTAGTATTTTATCTACGCCACCTACATAAATCAATTTAGAAGGCGTTGGTGTAATTCCTGGCATTATCACTAAGATCGAAGCACCAAAACAAAAAAACACGATTTGGGATTTTCTTCAAATTTTATAACGAGATCCGAAAACAAATTATCAGTTCCCCATCAAAAGACGACACCTCATACGTCTCGATTGGTGCAGGGAAGTGGTCTGGACGCCAGTGACGGAATGGCAAAATCACACATCTGTACGTCTGCACACTCAAGATATTTACGTAAATACTGAATAGTGATAACTGAATTATGAATAAGGGTACCAATAAGACTGACTGGCAGCATTGGAAAGCTATAACTTTTTGCTTCACAGTAATAGAAAATGTATTTGTATTTATAACACCAAATGAACTGTAGATTTGTTGTTAGAGTATTGATAGCAAAATCCCCCCCTACTGCGACCGTATTCCTTCAGCAAACAGCGAAAACTTACGCGATAGTAAAAACTATATTTCTGTCGCGAAGCAGATCAATAGGACAACATTCATTCAATCAATCAAAACTGAAACTGTCGATAGGAGCAGAATTTTGAAATGACTGTGCCAGAGACACTTTCTTACGCGTTGAAAACATTTTTAATACGAATTCGTGGATATGTATAAGTGTATTTTTCACAATAAGTGGGATGCCGCATTGATTCACGTCATACCCCTTTTTACTCTGTTATAAGCAGTGTTGTGTTTTATTAGCTCTGCTATACACATCTTGAAAAACGCAAAATTTCCATACGTGTACCGCAAAGTAAAATGTTTTAAAGTAATTATGAAATAATTATTATCCATGCATGAGTGTTACAAAAAATACAATAGGTTATTTTTATAAATCAACAGGATATACTATATTGAATGTAAATAAATAATGACAATTTTCTGTATAACCGCAATGCAGGTGTGACAACTTATTTCTAAAGAAAGTTTCCAATGATCATTTCCACAAAACTATTACGAATACATTCGAGCCTTGAACTCGATGTCTCTAACCCATTAGGGACACGACTTTCTAATAGTTTTGAGCAATTCATCTTGTGGAACGACAGACAAAACCAAACAGACGATGTGCCACATCAAACAATTTAGAAGCTTGAGTGATGTAATATCCACAATACGTGCCTCAGAGTAAAAACTGTAATGTTCTCTTTCGCAGAAGATGAGAAGATGTCGTAAGAGAGGAGGAATGAAGTAAAAATGAGGATGATCTTAGGACGCAAAAGCTCTTATAGTGTACTTGCATCATCGTAATTTTCAAAATTGTTTAATGATATTCACTTATGTCGAAATTATATTTTTTAATATTTGTAAATCATCATTTGCTTCACGTACAAACATACTAAGACTACAAGATTTGAGATAGAGTGATTGTAAGTTAAATGAAAAGAGAAGAGCAGAAATTGCTTCAATATGGTAAATCAGTTGGAGTTGATAT